TTCCTTCCTTCCTTCCTTCCTTCCTTCCTTCCTTCCTTCCTTCCTTCTTTCCTTCTTCAATTATCTATTATTTATTATTATCTATCATCTCTGTTTATTCACCTATCCACCTAGGATAGACGTTAAACTAGGCCGGGCATGGTGGCTCTTGCCTGTAATCCCAGCAATTTGGGAGTCTGAGGCGGGTGGATCACCTGAAGTCAGGAGTTCCAGACCAGCCTGACCAATATGGTGAAACGCTGTCTCTACTAAAAATACAAAAATTAGCTGGGCATGGTGGTGGGCATTAGTAATCCCAGGTACTCAGGAGGCTGAGGCAGGAGAACTGCTTGAGCCCAGGAGGTGGAAGTTGCAGTGAGCTGAGATCACGCCATTGTACTCCAGCCTAGCTCAAATAATAATAATAATAAAATTAAAAAGATAGACATTAGCTATTCATTAATATCTTTTTTTTTTTTTTTTTCACATTTAGGCATTGAGAGTGATCACACCTCCGTCCTGCTCTAGCCAATAAAATGTGAGCAGAGGTCAAGATTTATGTCCCTTCCAGGAAAAGCATTTAAAAGCTGATGCCAGTTTTCCATCTTTCCTTCTCTCTGCTGCAATGATTGGCATGTAGATGGTGGAGCCTCAGCTGGTCAGGGTCCCTAAATGAAGGCACTGTGGAGCCCACCTTGTATGGACTTGGTATGTACAAAAAATACACTATTGTTATGTTTGTGATGGACAGATCAACCTCAAGCAGAGTTTGCAGGAGAAGACACTTCTCAGTGTGGTGGGTATGTCTTGATATACCAAACTTCAGGAAGGCAGAGAATTAGCTATTTACTTCATTTTGGTGTTTTATACTAAAGATTCTGAAAGCTCCTATCAAACCACAATTTATTAATTTATAACAAAAAATATTTGGCTCGGCACGGTGGCTCACACCTGTAATCCCAGCACTTTGGGAGGCCAAGGTGGGTGGATCACCTGAGGTCAGGAGTTCGAAACCAGCCTGGCCAACATGGCAAAACCCCATCTCTACTAAAAATATAAAAATTAGCCAGGTGCGGTGGTGAGCATCTGTAATCCTAGTTGCTCGGGAGGCTGAGGCAGGAGAATGGCTTGAACCCAGGAGGCGGAGGTTGCGGTCAGCCGAGATTGCGCCATTGCACTCCAGCCTGGGCAACAGAGTGAGACTCTGTCTCAAAAAAAAAAAAAAAAAAAAAAAAATTATACAGCACAGATTATATATGTCAGGCATATGTTATTGTTATGTTAAACTGATGAGATTATGAGATTATTACTTAATTCAATTTAACTTGATTAATACATTGTTTTGCCTCTTCCAGAGAGAATTTAAAGTTGCTTAAAGAGAAATACAGCACAATAAAATAAAAAAGTGACTGAGTAAATTAAGAATAACATATAACATTTGCCTTGTAGAGTCATTGGGAGAAAACATACCTATCCATTAACATCACTGATAATCAGTAGATATCCAGCTCCTTTTTATGTCTGGACCCTTCTATATGCCTAAGTGATGGTCCCTCCCTACCCAGGTACCGGTTTCATTTTCCACCATGAGCAGGGAAGACTTCCTTGACTTACAATTACAAGCCAGCTTCCTTCACCCCACACTCATTATCACCCTTATTTATTATTTTTTAATTGTACTTATGTTGCAGAACTTTGCTCCTTAGTTCAGCTTAAACCAGGTTCTTGTCACACAACCAGGAAAAGTTAGCCATGCAGACACATTGAAGGGTGAGGGGAACGGAATTTATTGGGCAAAAATAAAAAAAATAAAAATAAAAGTCTCTGAGCAAAGCAAGAAGGGTTCTTGCTAACAGGCCCCTATTTCACAGACTGATTCTAGGCCACACACAGAAGCTGAAGAGACCAAGCTCCTCCCCACTGCAAATGACTCCAACTTCCTGAGGCCCCACCCCGTTCTCCCAGTGCATAGGCCAGTCAGAGACTCTTCAGGGATCCTCCCCCTTATCTTCCTCCTGCATCTATCATTTATCACCAACTGCCATACTTTCTATTTTACTTATTTATTTGTTTGATAAACATTAGCATGGAAGTTGTATGAAAGCAGGGATCTTTGTTCACTGCTATCCCCAGCACCTAGTATATGCATGACATATATAATCAGTGCAGTATAAATATTTTTAGTAAGTTACAAATTAATGAATTGTGACTTTATGGAGCTTCCAGAATGCTTACTATAAAACAACAAAAGGGGTGAAATAGTCAATTGCCTGGCTCCCTGGAGTCAGGGATATCAAGTCATATCCACCTCACTGAGAACTGCCTTCTGGAAACCCTCCTTGAGGTTGCTGTGCCCATCACCACCTTCCCAGCCTCTTTTCCCCTCTTCTTCCTTTTCTGCATGCTGGTTTTGAGAGGTACTAGTCACTAGACAAACTTCAATAACAATAATATTGAGACTAAAACTGAAATGATGATTAACCACTATTGAGCACTTATAATTTATCAATAGTACTCGTTCTAGTTTCACAGCTAAGTACATTCTATTCATGATCTCATTCATTAATTTCAGAAAACTCTGTGGGCAAGGAAATTATGATCCTGACTTGAAAGATGAGGAAATTTAAGCTGAAAATGCTGAATAATTTGCAGAGGACCACACAGTTCGTAAATGGTAATGTAGGCGTTTTTGTTATCTATTGCTATGTAATGATTCACCAAAAAGAAAGTGGTTTAAATCAATTTACTCTTATTTATCATGGCTCTGTGGATTGAATGGGCTCAGTTGAGTAATTCTCTCTTGGGGTCTCCCATATGTTTGTGAATGGTTGCAGGCAGATGGCTTCTGGCCTGGGTGTCCAAGGTAAGCTTCCCGTATCTGGCATCTCAGATGGGATGGCTCAAACCCTTGAGGACTGGCAGGGCGTCTCACTCTCTTTCTCTGTGTAGTCTGTCCAGATTGTTAGCTTGGACTTCCTCACAGCATGGAGGCCTCCGGATGGTCAGACTTCTTATGTGATGTCTGCCTTCTCATGAGCTATCCTTGGAAGTCCCACAACGTCACTTCCCTTGCATTCTGTTAGTTACAAAGAGCGGCTCAGATTCACTGTGGGAGGGCATAAATACCCTGGAAGGAATGACTCATTATCATGGTGGAATTTTTAAACCAGCCATTCTGAACCTAGGCTAGAGGTTGTAAACTCATTGTCTGAATGGAACTGGCAGATCTTTATAAGCAAGGAAGCCTGATGCAAGACAATTGTGCCTGGGACAAACTGTGCTGGACTGAAGAACACAGGTGTTATTAAGGGGCACTTACTGCTCAGCACCAGCTGACTTTGCCTTGCAGGACTACAGGCCCCTTGTTACTGCATCCTCTGAATTTTCAAAGGAAATTCAGCAACCTGGGTTTTATATAAAATATTTTAACATGGAAAACCTGATATTTGTCAAGCAAAACACTTCTGTGTTTAGCTTGTGGGCTGATAGCTAGATCTCCACTGTTCTAGATCTCCAAGGTAACATCTACACACATTAGCACAGCACACAAGGCCCTCATGACCTGTGGGGGTTACCTTGCCTGGCAGTCCAGCCTCATTTCTCACTTTTTTCTTTTCTGAGATGAAGTCTTGCTCTGTCACCCAGGCTGAAGTGCAATGGCACAGTCTTGGCTCATTGCAACCTCTGCCTCCCAGGTTCAAGCCATTCTCCTGCCTCAGCCTCCGAAGTAGCTGGGATTATAGGTGCCTGCCACCATGCCTGGCTAATTTTTTTTTTTTAGTAGAGACAGGGTTTCACCGTGTTGGCCAGGCTGGTCTCGAACTCCTGACCTCGTGATCCGCCCGCCTCGACCTCCCAAATTGCTGGGATTACAGGCGCCAGCCACCGCACCTGGCTGCGTTTCTCACTTTTCTCTAACATTTGTGCATTCACCAAGTATTTATTAATTCCTCCTATTTACCAAGTCTGTTCGATGTTCTGGGGATGTAGCAGAGAGTAAAACAAAGTCCCTGCCTTCAGGGGGCTTACATTCTAGTTGGACACAGACAATAAACAAATGTGTAAAATATCAGATGGCACTAAGCACCACAGGGAAAAATAAAGCCAGGTGAACCCTAGCTGGCAGGTTGCACAATGTACCCTGCTCTCTTGTTCTGCTCTTCTGTCTACCTTGAATGGCTCTTTTTCCTTTCAGCTTAACTGCCTTCTACCTATCATATCACTTGGGGATCTAGCTTGAGGGTCAAACCTCTGACCCCTCTCATCCTGCAAGTGTGAAATTGGTGACACCCCAGTCCTTGCTTCTAAGGTACTTGTGTCTACTCTCACCATATAGTTATAACTGTTTTTTTTAAGTTTATAGTTACTTTTCAGTATCCTCCACTAGGTAGTGAGTAAATTGAGGGCTTCTGCATACTCTTAAATTTTCCACAAATCTTTTTTCATTAAAGAAACAGTCTCTTTGGAAAGATCTTCAAGGAAGGAGCTGCTTGGTGGGAGAAGAATTCGCCTGCCCTCTGTTTTTTTTCTTTCCCTTTTCCAATAAGAAATGTTCTTTCCCCTTCTCGCAAAGCACAAAACTATGCATGAGGTTATTTGAAAATCAAGTAAAAGGACATGGTTTATGTCCTTTGGTTTGGGGGCTGGATATTCATGAGTATGAAATGTCTTATATTTTCAGTGAGTCACAGGAACCCAGACTAACTTTACCTGGTTGTGAGACATCAATACACTCATTCTGTTTGCATATTCATACACACACTTAGGCATGAAAAAAGATGAAACACGTCCTTTATAGCTACAGTCTGAGACTTATCTCTATGCATTTCACTAGGCAGATAAACAGGATGCACACTTGTAATCCACAAAAGTCAAACACTAAAATCTGCTTCTGGCACTGCCCTGTATCTGCCTGGTATCTTTGACTTTCTGTGTGCTGTGGTTCTGTCTGGCTTCTGCTGCCTAGCTTTCCAATGTGTAAAGCCTCCTTTGTCTAACATTCTGAAATCCCTTGTGGGTGTGCCTGGAGGCCAGCTTGGTTTTCTAGAAGACCCAAAAGTGATTCTCCCTCTGCCCTGCATGTTGCTGCCCTATGGAACAAGATGACGGCTAAATTTCTGTTGCTTGGTGGAGTACACACATGTTCCACTGCACTCTGGAACGCTTGAGCTCTTGGGCCCAGACCGCAGAGTGCTGTGGGCAGATCAGCCTCTGATCTGTCTCACCTCTGGAAACCCTGACTTTCAAGTTATGTCAGACCCTCTCCAAAGGAAAGTAACCAGGTCAGAAGCCTGTTTGAGCAGAGGAGCAGCCTTGGGCAGCAGGTGACTGCCTGGGAAGCTTGTGCCCTGGAAGGTTGGCTGTGGAGAAACGCCCACCCAAGGGCATAGGATGTTTGTGCCTTGCCTTTTAAGGGAGCGCTGCTTGTGGAATAGGATGGTCTGTTTTGGTTGCAGCTCCAGGAGCAGACTAAGCCAGACTGGCGGGAATGCCCGGAGGGGTCTAAGCAAACTTAGTAATGAGAATTCAGGTCACTTACCAGATTGGCCATTTCTCTTCAACTGGTAATTTGCTTCATATGATGCTTTCAGTAAAATGGGCCCAAAGGTTTTGTTGTTGTTATTTGTTTAAACATAAAGCTAAAATAAATGGAGATAATTCTTTAAGCCCTGTGTCAAATTCAGCTTTCTACATGAAATATTTCCTCAGCTTCCAACTCTGTTCTCTCCTCCTCCAGTCTAAATATGCCGTCTCTTCTTTAACACAATACTGATTTGGAGTCTTAACCTGTTTCTCACTTTCTCTTGTCACATAGTTACTGTTACACGAGAACTTCTCAGCTTCAATGCCGTTTTCCTGACTATGGACAATCAGGGTTCCTAGACTGGCTCATTCCCCTTTGCCTCCCTGAAGCGGTTAGTGTAGAGCTTTATGTCACAAGAACCCAATGATCAATAGTAGAACCAAATAGCTCTTAGCCTTGCACCATTCCCTTGCCCACTCCTGGTGACTTGATGACCTGCACTGGTCACATGCTAGGAGGATTTCCAGGCAGATTGCCTAAACATTTCAAACAGATTGGGTCACGTTGGTAGAGCACACAGCATGGCGTGAGCTTGGGAAATGTGTTATGTTTAGACCGCCCATGAACTTTATAGCTATTTTACAGTCTGAGAGCTATAGACAATCTTTCCACAGATGATAGCCGTGTCACGTCCTTGAGGACAAGAAATATTTTCCATTTCATTATATCCCCACAGTGGTACCTGGTGCGTGGTGCTCAGGAAGTGTTGGTGGAATGATTGATTAGGTCGCCTGGCTTTGCAGGGGCTTATCAGTTTATAATTTGCACCACTGACCTTCCCTCAAACTCCAGGGAGGTAGGAGGGACTGATGGTTAGCAGAAAATTGCCCAGGAGAGACAAGAAATTAATGCTTCTACTCAAAAAGTAGGATCTCTAGTAAGCCATAAAGGCTTAATGCTGTGTCTTTGTGAAAGGACTGAAGTCTGCCCTGTTTGTGCTGGATGAAGGCAGAGAGGAAGGGCAGCCACAGGGAAAGAAGGACTTTGAGATCAGGATGTTCATCATAAATGATGGAAGCTTGGGATTTAGCAAGAGAGAAAACGTAGTGGTGATGAACTCTAATTTCAGGCATTTAGGGGTACCTCTAATTGAAAAATTGTATTCTGGGGACCTGGAAAGCATTGTGGGAGTCAGAGGAGGTGAAACTTCAACAAAAATAGTTTCATATTGTCACACTGAAACTCAGTGGAATGTTAGGTGGGTGGGCAACTAGAGGTCAGCCCGGGATGAGCTCTCATCTCCTGGTAAGCTCTGCTCTGCCACTGAAGCACCCTTCTTAGGGCCAGAATCCCCCTTTGGGTGAAGTTAACCTTTTCCCTTCTCAGGAGCTGGGAGGACTCAGGCAGTTTTCATTGCCCTTTAACTGAAATTCTTAATCTCTTTAAGCATCTACTCAGTGTCCTTGTTGAGGTTACATTTGGTCTCTTTTGGTTGCAAATGACAGAAACCCAACTCAAAAAAAAAAGAAAATTTTGGCACCTACAACTTATAAAATGTGGTAATTATTTCCCAGATTAAGGTCCAGTTGGAATCCTATACTGAGGTGATATCCATAAAAGCCATCTTTGTCCATCTCTCAGCTCTACCGTCTTTAGACATTCTCATGTAGATGATCAGCCAAGCCCAGCAGAACAAAAACAATTCTTTACCGGTAGCTTCAGCAAAGGTCCCAGAGCTGCTCAGAAACAGTCAGATGCACCATTGGACCATCCATAATCTAGTCACTGGGCTAACGAGTCTCATGGGTTTAATGAAGCAAGCTGGATTCTATGCCTGGAGCAGTGGGATCAGCTGCAACGGAACCACATGAACGAGGGTGTAGGGGGGAAGCACAGGTGGATACTCAAAGAAAATTGGACTCAGCAAAAATGTGATGGTTGCAGGGCAAATTTACACTACAATGGCCAAGTGCAGTCACTTCACAAGGATTCTGCTGTGTAAGAGTTTATAAGTGTTCTGCTGGGTGCCACGGCTCATGCATGTAATCCCAGCACTTTGAGAGGCTGAGGAGGGAGGATCATTTGAGATCAGGAGTTTGAGACCAACCTGACTAGCATGGTAAAACCCTGTCTCTACTAAAATTACAAAAAAATTAGCCAGAAATGGTGGCACATGCCTGTAGTCCCAGCTACTCAGGAGATTGAGGCAGGAGAATTGCTTGAACCCAGGAGGTGGAGGTTGCAGTGAGCTGAGATTGTGTACTGCACTCCATCCTGGGCAACAGAGAAAGAGTCCATCTAAAAAAAAAAGTTTAAGAGTGTTGACATAAAAACACTCATTTCTCTCCATCTATGTTTTAAGGCTGGCCCCCTGAAATTGGTTCTTTCCCTCCTCAGGACCTTCCTTATACCTTAGAAAAGCAGGTTGTAAAAAGCTGGATGTTTTCTTGAGGAGGGCAAATATCATTTTATTTTTTCTCAGTTCAGAGAATCAAGAAGTATAGTCTCTGCTTCTCAGCTGAGGACAAATATATAGTTTCTAGGATCAATTATCTAGGGGCGAGATGACATCATAGATTTATCTGGATAGAAGTAAATTTTCACATGGTTTGAGTCCTGTCTCTAGGGCATTCAGGGTTTGTGCACCTGTGGTAAATGCCTGGCCCTGACTGATGCTGGGGGAAGCGGGGTTTTGACTCTGGCCCTGCCACTCACAACTGGATGAGCCTGGGTGATTCACTGTTTTCCTGGGCCTCAGTTTTCTCATCTTTTGTATTATGGTTTGGACTGAATACTCTGTCTCTAGTGTCATCACTTTTCTAAAGAGTTTGATTTTTAGCTGACAGTCAAATCCTTAATACTCTGAGTTGCCCACCAAGCATGATCTGATTGTCCCCTGAATGCATGAAGCACAGAGAACATGAAGCAAGGAAGGAGCGACATCTGTGCACAGGAAATCTCTAAAGCGAACATATTTAATATTTAATCTTTTCCTGTTTGCTCTGAGGCATTTCATTATTGGAAATGGCAGGCTGTCATCCACGATGCCTGGCACAGTTTGAGAAGGTCATTCTATCTCAGATTTTCAACTGAACGATGAGGAACATGGCCCCCAAACTGTGAGTCCCCTAAGGAATTGTGCTGGGACCATTATGTCCTTGCATCCTCTGTGGGTGCCGTGTGTGTATTAGGTGCTCAAGACAAATATGGGTGGACAGGAACAGAAATGAATGCTTTTTTGTTGTTTTGTTTCCGGACGTCTCAGATGTGGTGGGGAAGCACTAGGAGACAGGGCAGATTCTAACTCTTCCACATGCTGGCTGTGTGGTCTTAGGACCTCCTCTCCCCTCCTAATGTCACCATCTTTGAAACAAGAGACAGCGCAGGATGACCTCCATGTTAGTCTAGTGCTGAGATTCTAGAGTCATCTAAGGATTTAGGTGGGTAAGATGGTTGTTACAAACTGAATTTTGTACTCTCCCAAATTCATGCATTGAAACCCTAACCCCTAATGTGACTATATTTGGAGAAAGGACTTCTATGAGGTACTTAAGGTTAAGTGAGGTCAAAAGGGTGGAGTCTGAATGTGCTGGGAGTGGTGGCCTTATCAGAAGAGCAAGAATGAGATCACTTTCTGCCATGTGAACTCACAGCAGGGATGCAATCTGCAAGCCAGGAAGAGACCCCACACCAGAGCCTGACCATGCTGGCACCCTGATCTTGAACTTCCAGCTTACAAAACTGTGAGAAAATAACTTTCTGTTCTTTAGGCTACCCAGTCTGTGGTATTTTATTATAGCAGTGTGAGCAGACTTAAGATAACAGTACTGCAGCTGGCTGGCAAATAAGGCTCAGGAGAGAGACCTCATTTGTAAAATAACAAACTGGTACAAGAGCTAGGGATCTTTTCACTACTGGCTTTTCCTGTTGTCCCTAGGTCTGTGACAGACAACAAGCCACACCTCAGACACAGAGCCCATATGCTTAAAACTTGCTTCTCATGAGCCCCCCAGTGTGGAAGGCTCCCAAGATATCCAGCTGCACACCCCTAACCAATATCTACTAGGCACTCAAAGGAAACAGTGGGTGACAAAAGCAACGACTTTGACATTTAAGTCAGCCTTTGGTGCATCTGCTTTCCCACAAACCCACCATGACACATGTTTTTGCAATAAAGCATTTCAAGCGCAAAAAAAGGCCGCATAAAAGAGCCCACAAGACCCAGGTGTTTCCAGTCTTAATAGATGTTGTTTGAGGTGCGCCTCCCACCTTATCCCACCTCCTCACTGCCCTGCAGTTGGCGGCCCTTTCAGCTTTGCACACTTGGGGGCGCTACTCACGGGAATCACCTGAAGCACTGCTTTTTTGTTTCTGTTTTGAGACAGAGTCTCGCTCTGTCACCCAGGCTGGAGTGCAGTGGTGCGGTCTCAGCTCACTGCAACCTCTGCCTCCCAGGTTCAAGTGATTCTCCTGACTCAGCCTCCCAAGTAGCTGGGATTACAGGCACCCGCCACCATGCTTGGCTAATTTTTTGTATTTTTAGTACATACAGGTTTTACCATGTTGGCCAGGCTGGTCTCCTGACCTCAGGTTATCCACCCACCTCGGCCCCCCAAAGTGCTGGGATTACAAGTGTGAGCCACCGTGCCCAACCTGGAGAACTGTTTTTTGTAAGCACTCCCACAATGGGCCCTCTGAGTTAGAATTTTGCCTCAAACACCAATAGGCAGCATAATCTCATGCCAGTCATTTAACTTATTTGAGTGTCAGTTTACTCATCTGTATTCAAACAGATATTTATTGAGTACCTCTAATATCAGGCATTAATCTAAGTTTGGAATTCATCATTAGCCATTTCTTTTTGAGAAATTCAGACTATTAGTCATGATATGATTTAGTAACCCCTGTGTGACCTCTATCACTGTTCTCAGTCATGCACATTGTATCATGCTTGCACATGAGGACTGAGAATACAAGATCAATCTGCAGAATCACTACCTGAATTTTCATATCAGGGTTTGCCATGAGGGTTCTAACTGCAAGAGAGCCTGATGAGCCTCCTGATAGAAATAGTGAATGCACTGAATGGTATTTAAACCTTTGCACCAGGAAGGAGGGCAGTAATGCTTCCTGGCTTTTTGGGATGTGTTTTGGGTGGCAAGAAGGTTATCTGGAGGCAAGAAAGAACAAAAGTTGCCATGGATGGGATCCTGTTGGATTATTAACAGGAACGAATACTGTTGGGTGTAAGCCTGTGTAATTTCTGTTAAATATCGCCTCTCTCTCTCTCTCTCTCTCTTTGCAGTATTTAAGGGTCAAAAATTGGTAAGAAATTGAAAAAGTGAATGAATTGTAACTTGACGGTGCTGTAAAACTACTACTTGGGGAGTCTGTTAGAGTTGTTTCAACAATTATTAATTGAGTGTGTATTAGTTGTCAGGCACTCTGCTAGGCTGCGTCTAACACTGCCCATATTCATGGCGTTAGAATACAGTGAGGAAGACAGACATTATAAAAAATATGTGTAAATATGTGTGTATATTTATGTGTGTGTGTGTGTGTATGTGTGTGTGTGTGTGTCTAATGGGAAATTGTGATAAGTACTAAAAAAGAAAAAAAACACAGAATATTATGAAAGAGAATACTAACAGGGATTATCTCACCAGATGGAGTGACCAGCGAAGGCCTCCTTGAGGATGTTATATTTAGGATGGAAGGATTCAAGGAGCTGGTTGTAAAAGAATGGGGCAGAAGTGTGGCAAAGAGGATTCCAGGCAGTGGGAGCTTCTCAAGCCAAGGCCCTGAGGTGGAAATCACTTGCCATGTTTGAGGAACTGAAAGGTTGTGCAGACATAATGTGGTGAGAGAGGAATAAAGTGAGGTAAGTTGGAGAGTTAGAAAGAGTCCAGAAAATGCAAATTCTTGGAAGTCATGGAAAAAAGTTCAGATTTTATTCTAAAGTCAATAGAAAGCGACCGAAGTGTTATTTGAAACAGCAGAGTGATGTGGTTGGGTTTACATGTACATCGGCAGCACCTGAGGCAGTGACATGGCCCACCTCAGTGAGAGGTGGGAAACACACCTCTGCTTCTTCTACAGTCAAGTCAGCAGCAGGCCATTAAGGGCTTCAGAGTGCCATCAGGGCCTGGAGCACATGGCATCACTGAATGACGGTGCAGAGAAATCTTGATTCCCAGCAAGAAATCCTGTTCCAGAACTGGGACCCTTCTGCATCCATTAATTCAATCAACATATATTTGTGAGTTTTTACCAATAATGGTGAGCAAATAGACACAGTGTACCACATATAATTTGTTAGTACTCAGTATCATGTCTGTTATTCTATACTTTTCCCTGTCCCCAGGAGCATGAAGTCTAGAAATTACAATTTCTATCCTCCATTGCAAACAGGATCCCAAATAGATTCCACCAATAAGAAGAAATTGCATGAGATTTAGAAGGTAGAAGGGAAGGGGAAGCCATTGTTCTGCATAGCAGCTACTGGGAGAGTAGAAGCAGTGTGGAATTTTCTCACTGCTTTTGGGTGTCCTCCTAAGAATCACCAAGTCAGTGCTCCCAGCAACTGAAACAATTGGTTATAGAACAAGAACTGTACTTTAAAGTTTCCTAAAAGGGGTCTTCCTGAGCTTTACTTGCCCAGCCTTTAATTCCTATATTAAACCATTTCTTACTCTATATACTTAGAGTGGCTTCTTTTTTTCTGACCAGACCCTGACTGATCTAAATGGGACAAGGGAAGAGGGTATACTCCTGAGATCACAGTGTTAGTTTTGTATGGTGTCAGAATTGAATGATCACTTTGACTGTGTTGCAACTGTCATCCACAGCCTCTGGATTCTCCCCCTCAACCTCCTGCAACTTGGAGAAAACAGAGTTATGTGTGATAGCTTATCCCTCAACTCATTCTTTCACAGTAAAAAAGTACAGCAAAGTTCTTTTTCTCTTAGAAACTAATCTTATCAAATTGAAGCATAAAACAAGTTTTGGCCATCTACCTATTAAAATACAATAAGCCATCGTTAATATCTTGCAAAATTTCCTGAACCAATCGTATCTTGTGAGGTGGGAGTAGAAAAGGCCATATACAAAAAGGGTAATACAGGTTGAACATTCCTAATCCTAAAAACTCAAATCCAAAATGCTCCCAAATCCAAAAGTTTTGAGATTTAACCTGATACCGCAGGTGGAAAATTCCACACGTGACCTCACTTGGATCACAGTAAAAACACAAACAAAATTTTGTTTCATGCACAGAATTATTGAAAATATCATATAATATTATCTCCAGACTGTGTATACAAGATGCATGCAAAACATAGATACATTTTGTGTTAAGAACTGGGTCCCAGCTCCAAGATACCTCACTATGTGTGTGCAAATATTCCAAAATCTTAAAAAAGTTCAAAATCCAAAACTCTTCTGGTCCCAAGCGTTTTAGATAAGGGTTACTTAACTGCAGAAAGGTCAGACACCTTTTGGAGATGACAGGCGGGGGTGTGAGTGAATCCTGGTTACACATGTCACCAATGTTACTTTTCTTCTCTGAGTCCAATTACTCATCTGTGAAGGTAATATACATACTAATTTTTGTGGGACCATGGTGCATATTGCTAATGATGATGGTGATAAATAATAATTACAGCTAACAGTTGTAGAGCATTTACTATACCCTGGACACTCTACTAAGTGCCTCACATGAATTAAGTCATTTAATTAATCCCCACAATAATGTCAGAGGTAATGGAGACAAGGAATGTAGCAGGGCTGACAAGGTGACATAGTAACATGGGTTAAAAGTAACAGTTCCGCCGGGCGCGGTGGCTCACGCCTGTAATCCCAGCACTTTGGGAGGCCGAGGCGGGTGGATCACGAGGTCAAGAGATCGAGACCATCCTGGTCAACATGGTGAAACCCCGTCTCTACTAAAAATACAAAAAATTAGCTGGGCATGGTGGTGCGTGCCTGTAATCCCAGCTACTCAGGAGGTTGAGGCAGGAGAATTGCCTGAACCCAGGAGGCGGAGGTTGCGGTGAGCCGAGATCGCGCCATTGCACTCCAGCCTGGGTAACATGAGTGAAACTCCGTCTCAAAAAAAAAAAAAAAAAAACAGTTCCTCCAAATTACTGCAATTACAGTTAATAGTTCAGTAGGACATTTTAGGAACATGGCAGTTTTTTCATATACATATATGAAAAAATATGAAATTAAATATGCCCAAATAAGTAGGTTTTAAAAATAGAAAAAAAGTGGGAGATTTTGCCACATCATCTCTCAAGACATTCCACAAGCTGCAATTACAGAAACAATGTGATCCTGGTATTAGAATAGATAAACAGATCAATGAAACAGAAATAAGAGTTCAGAAAAAGACTCAACTATATGCAGAAACTTGATATGTGATAAATATGCCAATTTAGTGGGGGAAAAGATGGGTTTTGTGGGAAAATTCGTTTCATACATGGGGAAAAATAGACTCCTGTCTCATCTCACAAAGGTGGACTCCAGATGGATTAAAGTCTACATACAAAACCTGTGCAGCTATGGATTAATAACTAGAATATAAAGTACAAGGAGATCCTGCAAATCAGCACAAAAAAGGTAGGAAATCCAGTTTAAAAATGGGTATGGCATGTGAACAGGAAATATATACAAAAAGGAAAACCTGAATGCCAACAAGCCTATGATCAGATGTTCAACCTCACAAGAGATCAGAAAGAGGAAGATATAGACAATGATTTATAACTTTATAGTCATAATGCTTGGCAAAAATTAAAAGGTGGATAATACCAAGTAGAGCTGAGGACATGGAATAAAATAGTTCTTACATAATTGGTGGTGGTGTTAAGGCATTCAGCCACTCAGATGAGTGTCAATAAATCAGTTAGTGAAATTAAATATGTAGGTGCATGTCTGTGAATGTACTGGGGTCTTTGCTCACCTCTGGGGAAAATCAGAAGATTTGGTTTTCTTACTGACTTGGCAGATACTCTTGAAATTCTCCTCTAAGTTTGTGAAGGTTCATAGTGGCTGCTTTCCTCATGCATCACTCTCTGTGACTGCTGAGTCACGTCTGGAGCTCCGAGTCACGGTCCACTGAGTCCACTTCCCTGCTACAACACTGCATGGAAGAAAGAAATAGGAACTTTGTTCTCTTTATGACCTTGTCCTTTTAACCTCCATGTGACTAGTGTAGTAGCATAGTTAAATCCTTTTTCTAGATGGTTAAGACAATTCTGAACAAAATTACAAAGCTGGAGGGACCACAATTAAAGATAACTTGAATATTCATCTAATGAGAAGTTATCTTAAAAAACTCTAATAACTTGTATACAGTGGTTTCTCTTATTTGGTCCTCCAAGTGAATTTGCTCCCAAGTGTCACCCAGGTCCCTTTGAATCTCTATGGCTGGTAAGCCTCTCCCTCCTCCTAAAAGAGATTGTTGGCTCTGAATATTTCTCCTCTGTCTATCCTCCAAGGAACCTCTGGTTCCAGAATTAGAGATTCCGCAGGTAAAATTGGAGAGAGTAGAGCAAGACTGAGCAAAGCTCTTCAGTTTAAATTCCCACCAGCCTTTTATTTGTTTATTAAGTTCATCTCTCAAAGGCAAATGTTATTTTCTTTAGCATTCACAGAACTAAGATCTACCTGTAACAATTATTTCTTCTTATTAATAAGGTTTTGGAAGTATCCCAAAACGTAATGGGTCCCTGTTATTGTACATACGGGTGTTTTATTTTTCGATGATTTTGCCCACCTGTGATTGTTTGGTGTTATTACCGAAGATCAATACAAGTGTTTAAAATGCTCTCTTTGACTCTATTTCAGCTCAGATTCTCTCTATACCTGGAGGATAGTGGGAGGGTCGGGGGCAGGCTTGGACCTCTAATTTCTTCTGTTGCAGAGTGAATCAAAAGAAGCAGCAGGGAAGGAGATGTGAAAGTAGAGTGTAATTCTTATTGGAGAGTGCTGGTAGTTTCTGCGGGAGTTTGAGATGGAAAAGTCAGGAGGTATTAGCCTGAAGTGGAGGGGCCTCTCTGTTCAGGGTACGGTCTCAGATACTGGATGCCAAACATTGACTTTGCACTTTCCCCCACAACCTCTCTCCCTCTCTCCACTTCATTTGTCCTTAACGGAAGAAGGTCAACTACATTAAGTCTACAGAGGAATTATTTGGGGAAAGATTCACTAAATTTACAACAAGAACATCTGTTGAGTGCCTACCTTGGTGGTAGGGACTATTCTAAGTGTATAAAATGCTTTGACTCATTTAATCCTCTTAACTTCCATAAAGCAGGTACTGTTAGGATCATGCTTATTTTTATAGATGAGAAAACTGTGGCACTGAGGAGGGAAAGTGACTTGTCCAGCGCACACAGCTAATGAGCAGAAGAGCTGGGATTGGACGCCACATAGTTTAACAACTCCAGAACCACCCACCTCCAACCATCATGCAACACTACCTGCCAATCTTCCCCATCCAGGATATGGTGAATTTTTCCCACTTATTTGAATCTTTGCCATTGTCAGTAGAATTTTTATAATTTAAAAAGCATGGTTCTGAACAATTTTTATTAGTTATTTTGCGATTTTCAAATAGTTTTTTTTTTTGTTGTATGTATGGTAGAATTCTTAAAATTACAGTTTCTGATTATAATGAAGTTTAAACTTAGTTCATAATGATAAATAAAGCCACAAGTGAGTTCAAAAGCTCGTTAACTCGTGCACAATCATGCTAGTCTCATCCCTTGCACTGTTTAAGAGTGGCTAGTGGGATGTGAGCAGGAGTGCCTGGCAAGGTGGCGGTGGGAGCTGATGCTAAAGAGCCATGGGTGATGCCAAGGAGCTTGCACTACTCCTGGAATCAAACCTTTCAACAGTGAGATCATCAGGTTTGCTTTTTAAAAAACATCTTTGTCGTAGCATTTTACTGGGTGATTCAGGCTTGGGAAAAATTGGTGGCAGGTCACCTGTTAGAGCATCATTGCAGTATTTCAGGTGAGAGATAATAAAAATCTGACCCTGGGCAATAGCAGTAAGAAAAATGGGAATGGCAAGGATAGGGGAGGGGGGCGGTATACTGAGGGGAGGGTAAGGAACAGGTCTCAGGTAAAAGCAACAATCCTGGGTGACCAGTTAAATGTTGGGGAGAAGAAAAGAGAGGAGATGAAGTTGTCTCCAGAAAGAGTGGCCTCAGGAGAAACGGGTTGTATGGAGATGGGGTTGGGGTGGGGTGGGCAGAATCTATCTATCGGGGAAATAGGACCTTTGGTGTTGGTTTGGTACAGGTGAGTAGGCCTGAATGATAGTCACAGAAATCCCAAAGCATAATATAAAAATGAATGAAATTTGAAAAGTAATAAACATGAAAAAAATAAAAAATCGGGATTTATGGGGGATTTGTATATGGCTTATATTGGAGAATAATTAGCTAACTACTTGAAAGTTATTGGCGTATAAATGGTATTGGAGGCCAGAGAAGAAAGGGTGAGGTGAGCCCAAGGAGAGAGGCCAGCTTTAAACAAAACAAAACAAAAAAACAAAGAAATAGGACCCAGAGTTAAATTTGAATGTCAGATTATACAATAAATACTTGTTTAGTATATTCCATGTGTGGACACGTTTAAGACATACTTGTCCTAAAAATTATGTATTATTTATCCGAAATTCAAATTTAATTGGTCACCATGTATTTAATCTGGCAACCATAACAGCAGCTGCACACAGAAATGTCAGCAGAGACCAGGCAGGCCTTTCAGATGGTGAGGTGATGTGTGAGACACAGGGGTGTGGTGGAGGCTGGGTGACCCAGAACACCTGTCCTTCATTCTCAGGGGTAGCTGCTACCCAGTTCCCGCTGATTGGGTTTGCAGACATGGCCTTGAGGGTGTCTGGCATTTTGATGTTTCAAAACAGAATAGAAATATGTATTTTAATGTGTATTTAAATATATATAATTTTTTTAATATCGATATTAAAAGTGGTCAGTTGGGCTGGCTGAGTGCAGTGGCCCATGCCTATAATCCCAGCACTTCAGGAGACTGAGGGGGGAGGATCTCTAGAAGTCAGGAGGCTGAGACCAGCCTGGGCACCATAGCAAGTCCCCATCTCTACAAAAAAATAGAATAAATTAGTCAGGTGTAGTGACCAATGCCTATAACCCCAGAAACTTGGGAGGTCAAGGCAAGAGGATTGCTTGAGCCCAGGAGTTTGAGGCTGCAGTGAACTACGATAGCACCACTGCACTCCAGCCTGGGAGGCAGAGTGAGACTCCGTCTCTCTTTAAATAAATAAGTAAATAAATAAAGTGTGCAACCAGTGAAAAGAAAAGCATTGTGAAATACAAAGCAGCTCTGTGGGTTCCACTGGTTTGCAGCCTCTGAGCTAATTTCTGAAGTGGGTGTAGCAGGTTTTTGCTCTGTAAATTATGGTGATTTGCTGGTCAGGGTAGATGATACTTGTGTGTGGGGAAGGGATGATGGCAACAGATGTTCTCCTTTTGCAAAAAGTAAAATGTGGGAGTGACTTCTTTGGATGACTTCATGGTCTCTCACCTCAGAGCCATTTGCAGTAAAATTTTTATAGTTTTAAAAATATGATTCTGAACAATTTTTGTTAGAGTTATTTTGGGATTTTAAAATAGTTTTTTAGTTGTATATATTGTAGAATTCTTAAAATTATACAATGATAATTTATAAAAATGCATACAGTTATAATTCATAAAATTATACCTCCACTGGCCATTCTCATGTAGCTGGGAGCAGTTGGCACCAACAGGGCCACATCCCAGTGCTGACCTGCTCTGCAGGACCCAAGGAAGGCGAGCATAGCCTACCAGCCTTTTTGAGTAGCCCAGCGACAGCACCTGGGGCTTCGAAGGCTTTCATCCGAAAATTGTGGGCGGAAACTTCCAGGGGTTTGCTCTGAGCTTCTTGAAACTTCTCAGTTTCAGATGCAAAGTGAGTGGGTGTTTCTCTGAGAAGCAGAATCAGAGAGAGAGATAGAGACAGAGAAAGAGAGAGGTGTTTCCCGTAGCTATGGAAACTCTATAAGAGAGATCCAGCTTCCCTTCTCTTGAGCAGTCAGCAACAGGAGTCCCGTCCTTGACACTTCAGCCTCTACAGGATTAGGAAGAAGTAAGACCATTTGCTGGGGCTGGCTGGAGTCACCGGCTGCCATGCAGCAGCCCTTCAATTACCCATATCCCCAGATCTACTGGGTGGACAGCAGTGCCAGCTCTCCCTGGGCCCCTCCAGGCACAGTGCTTCCCTGTCCAACCTCTGTGCCCAGAAGGCCTGGTCAAAGGAGACCACCGCCACCGCCGCCGCCACCACCACCACTACCACCTCCACCACCACCACCACTGCCTCCGCTACCACTGCCACCCCTGAAGAAGAGAGGGAACCACAGCACAGGCCTGTGTCTCCTCGTGATGTTTCTCATGGTTCTGGTGGCCTTGGTAGGACTGGGACTGGGGATGTTTCAGCTCTTCCACCTTCAGAAGGAGCTGGCAGAACTCCGAGAGGTAAGCCTGCTGGGGGACTGCCGTGCCCTGGAAGCACCGGGCACAAGGGGTGCAGGGCCCACTGCCTGGCCTGCCAAGTGCTTTTCAGTTCCTTTTTTTTTTTTTTTTTAATCTTAGAAATGGGTTGTTCTAGTTATTCTGTTCTATAGGCAGAGAAATGGAGGCTCATATGAGTGTGGGGAATACATTTTGTTTTGTAAAGAGTCAGAGCCCAGCAGTTTTCCTCATGTGTCGACTAAGTCTGTTGAACCACTTCCTGCCTCGTACCTAGTGTTTTAAGGAGTAACGAACAAACCAAACTTTTACGTTTTGCTTGGAAGTAAATTTGTTCAGATGACCAAACCGAATCTTGAAAGTACTTAAAATACGGGTACGATTCCAAATCACAAAACTGAGGGACAGTGAAGCAAAATTGCTTGGCCAAAGTCTGAGTTAGCAAAATTTCTGAGGTATTTGGATTCTCTTTCCAGGGCTTGGTTTATTTGACACTTCTGCCTCTTTTGCTTAAAGAATTTTATGTTTATTATACATCTTTTCTCTTTCTCTTTTACTAGTCTACCAGCCAGAGGCATACAGCATCATCTGTGGAGAAGCAAATAGGTGAGTCCTTTTCCGTGGGCACATTGAGTTCCCAAAGATGATCCTCAGCACTGAACTATGTTAATGGAATGCCTTATATTCTGTCCTACACTTTGGCTTATGTGTGCTATGAGAGGAATTCTGGCTGATTCTGAATCTCCGGTCAATATGATTCCTTGAGCTGCTTTAAAAATGTGAAGTGAATGTGAATTCACATTCACTCAGCTCACAATCAGTATAGCTGAGCGCTGCACACAATTCAAAATCACTTTCACTTGACTTTGGAAACAGACACACATACACAACCTGGACCTTTGCCCCCTGAGGGATGGCTCCAGGCCTGTCTCCTACAGACATCTTGATCCTGGCAAACATGCCAGTGGCTTTGACTCCTGGGAAGAGAAGGGCGAGGTGAAGGCAGAGATAGATATTTCTCAGAAACACCCTTTCCTCTTTTAAAGTCTCTAAAGAGATTACAGTGAAGCTTTATTTATAAACAATTTTATAGGATGTATGCTTTTAATGAGGATAATCAATTGCCCACAATAGGATGGTTTTTCTTGAAGTCACTGAGAAGCTTAAGGGAAGACTTCAGCCATCATTCAAAGGACGTTTAGCTTCACCCTCAGAGATGGTCATGAGGTACCCTTGATCACAAAGGAAAACCCTTTGTATGGGAGCTAGGACAAGAAGATGACATGCTGAACACTGATTTCATGAAATTTCAGGGCATAGTTTTGCAAGCTCTGTACAGATAGATTTTACGACGCACTTCACTAGTCTTAAGATTCACTGAAATTTTAGATTTAGATTTACAATGAGATTCATTGAATTTTTAGAGTTGGAAGGAAGCTTAGAATATATCTAGTCCAGTCATTCCATCTTTTGGAAGAGAAACAAAATACCAGACAGATTAGGTGAACACGCCCAAGACCACTGGTATGGAACTGGGGCTGGAAGGGACACAGGCTCCTGATGCCTTGTCACCTACAGGGCTTTCCAGCACATGAACCGGTGCCTCATTAAGTAGGGAAACTCCCAACTCTCTGTAGTGACCATGGAATGAGAAATAGATGAAAAGCAGAATACCTCTGCAAAGAGAATGGGTAAATCTCATCCTTAGAAACTCAGAAGCAAGCAGAAGGCAGCACTGGCCATCTATTAAGTGGAGCAAGTTTCAGTTACTCTGGGTGTGGCTACTGCAGGCGACCCAGTCGCCGGTCTACTATCCCTGATTGTTAAGTTCTTATAGGAGCCACTGTTGGATGCTCTGGCTCCTGTGTCTGTGTCCTAATCCTTAAATGTTAGAACTTCCATATGTACCCAAGCAGAGTGGAAATATTTGTTAGAAAAATGAAGCCTCTGGAGGATGTCTTAAATAAGATCATTTTGAAAATCTGTGGAATGTGCCTGGTCCAATAGGTAGCTAATTATTCATCTTTCACCCACTCTCTGGAGTCAGTTTAGGGATTAAAAGTCAAATTATCAGATGAGTCAGGTCCATCTACCCCGTAAGTAATTATCTTCTCTAGATGGACCAGAAATTGGTAAATTATCACATGGAAATCACATGAGTAATTTTACTAATAAGAAAAGAGATGCAAATTAAAATAATGCAGATTAAAAATAGGAAATATCAAATTTTCATCAAATTGGTAAAGATTAAAAAAAAAAAACCAGATTGACAAAGATTTGAGAGAAAAGAGCCTGTTCAAACATTTGTTTCAGCCAATGTACATGTAAATTGCTATAGCTTTCTCTGAAGAGCGCTTTGGAAATACAATCAAAAGCTTGGAACTAATAGTTTACGTTGTAATCCCATAGCTAAGAATTTATCTTAAGAAAATAATCAGAGATGTGCCTGTGCCTGAAGATTTACATATAAGGATGTTCATTACTTCCTTATGAGCCTATTTATAATAAACGATTCAGAAGAAACTTGAATGCCTCATACTCGGTTAGTCATATATATTATGATGTATTCAGATGAGAGCTTAATAAGCAGCAACTAAAAATGATATATCAGAAGGACATTTAATGCCTTGGAGATTGTGCACTCTATTGCTAGATAAAAAGGCAAGTTACAAAAGGGTATGTTTAGTTTCATACTGACTATGTAAGCATGTATGCACATTTTATATTCTTAGAAAGGAACCAGAAAGTTTTATATACTGGCGTACTCACAGCGATTTTCTCTGAGAGATACTATTATAGATTATTTACTCTTTAATTTCCTCCTTTTTACATTTTCCATTTTTTTTTTCAGTTAACTAATTAAATATCTTATTCATTCACATCTGTGAGGCTAGATGTTGGATGCTGGATGCTGATTGAGGATGAGTGAGCCCAGGGGGCCTGTCCTTAGGGAGCTTTTAGCGTGGTGAAGAAGCCAAAAAAAGCAAGCAAACAGACCATGCAATTTCAAAGTTGTACTCAGTGCAACCTAAGATGGAATGGTCTGGAGAACCCTCTCTGAGGAGGTGTTGTTTATGCTGACACCCGTGGGGGTGAGAAGCCGCAGAGGGAAGGGCTGTGTGCATGTGCTGTGGAGTGTGGTGGGGCTGGGAGAGAGCATTTCAGTGCTGGGAATGGCACGTGCAAAAACCCTGGGGCAGGAAGCACTCATCACCAGTGTCTAGGATATATCTGCAGTTTATTTATTCCAGTATTTGTATAGCAGATATTCTTAGTGAGCATCTTCTGTGAGAATAACATTGTACTAGGCTCTGTGAGGGATATAAAGACATGTGGTTCTCTCTTCCGTTTCCTGCCGGTGCATGGCTGAATGCCAGATCAGTCGCTCGGATGGTTTGCGGTGTAGGAATGCAGAGGAGACTCAGTTTTGCCTTTCCTGTTCGCTAACACCTCCTTCGTGGTGGGGTGTCTTGAGTGACTTCAGAGGTCCCGATTGCTCAGGCAATGTTCTCTGCGGATTGGGCCATTCTCATACCATGTGTGACTTTTACAGGCTAATCATGAACCTGATGTAGACAAGCACTTTGTGTGAATATCAATTGATGTCTCAGTTAGCCGAATTCATTAGCTAAGTGGCAGCTGTCTATGTTGTCTGAAATAGTTGAAGTCAGAGAAATGGTGTCTGTTTTGAGAACTATTGTCTGTCCTTCCATTTAATTTGTCCAGCATTTGTTAGTAACATATCCTGTGTTAGAAACTGGGCTACTCTGGTAAATTCAACATATTGTAAGAAACCTGTCATTATTTGAGGGGAATAAGATAAGTTATGTAGTTATCCCAGAGAAGAGGAGTCAGAAAGAGCGGGGAAAACAGAGTGATCCTAGATTTCAAAAGAGGGGAAGATCATATTTGATCAAAAAAGGCCTGAGAGCCTTCCCCAAAGAAAGAGATATATTAGTTAGTCCTTATGGGATGTTTAGAAATTTGACACAGAAATCTGTTTGAAAGAACATTATGGGCAGAAGATATGGCATGAACAAAGGCACACAGGAAGGGAAGTGGGGGTATCAGAATACTGTCTAGCTGGGTCTTCTTGGACTAGTTACCCAACTTCTAAGCTTATTTTGCAGTCGATAAGGTGGGATAATACATACCTTGAAGGGTTATGGTGAGTTCTAAATGCAGTAACTGACATGACAGCTCTTTATGAATAAATGTTTATATTAATTATGTTTTATTGTAACATTATAATTTATGCACATGTCAGTCATAATTTTGTTTGTTTTTTACTTCTTTATTTCTGAAATATAGACTACTGTGAGTCCTACAATTCAGACTCACAGGATTAGTATATGTTAGACTGTTGGCATTTATGGTTTTAAAATCTTTTCTTTAAAATGATGGAATTTAGGCTGGGTGTGGTGGCTCACTCCAGCACTTTGGGTGGCTAAGGCAGGCAGATCACCTGAGGTTGGGAGTCGAGACCAGCCTGACCAACATGGAGAAACCCTGTCTCTACCAAAAATACAAAACTATCTGCATGTGGTGGTGCATGCCTGTAATCCCAGCCACTTGGGAGGATAGGGCAGGAGAATTCCTTGAATCCGGGAGGTGGAGGTTGCAGTGAGCCGGGAACGTGCCATTGTACTTAAGCCTGAGCAACAAGGGTAAAACTCTGTCTCAAAAAAAAAAAAAAAAAAAAAAAAAAAAGGATGAAATTTAAATTCCCACCAAAATAATCGCATTTCATTTTAACATGTGTTTTTCCTCTCTCTGTCACACAGGCCACCCTAGTCCACCCCCTGAAAGAAAGGAGCAGAGGAAAGTGGCCCATTTAACAGGTCTGTATCTGGAAGGTACAGGTGGGGTTTGGGAAAGCTTTTGGCAACAGGCAGAACGGCTACTTGGTTTCATTACTGGGCTTTAGAGAGTTGTTACTTCCTGGTGACAGTATTTGAACCCAATAATACTAACATCTTTCTTGTCGAGTCAGTCTTACAAACATACTTTGAGCCCCTATTCTCTGGGCAAGGGCCTCTTCTAAATTGGAGACCTCGAGCTGATTATGACATGACCCCTGTCCATGACCTCATTCTTTTCAGTCATTCCCAAGTCCCTTGGGGATTGGGGCCACAGATCCAAAAGGTGAGAGCTGAGAAGGTGAGGAATGAGGACTTATTTTCATCAGTGCTTTCTTGGTTTTCTGGAAGAGCTTTACTCTGCTTTGTCCAAGAGTATAAACAGGAGTGAGAAGGGAAACTCAGTCCTGGCACTTGTTGACTTTCAGCCTGTGTCTGCAAAGTGGCGTGAAATGATATGGTATGGGCACTCCCATTGTAAGCTTCATAAATAACTGAGATGTGGATAAATATCACAGAAAGTGGCAGGCTATTGTCCCTGGTATGATTTAGGCAGAAATTGTAGAATGATCCAGTCAGATCAGCAGACACTTATTGAGTACCTGCTGTGTGCCAATTTTGGGATGTGAAAATGAGTAGCACATGGCTCTTGCCCCCAGGGAGCTTGACATCTGATAGGGAAAGACAGGCACTTCTGATGATTTTAGTACCGCAGAGATTTAGGTTATGTTCACGATGCTGTGGGGATACAAAGAAAAGGGAACTGTAGCCCAAATTGAGGAGTGAAAAATTCATACTGCAGGTGAGAAGATGGACCAGATGGTTCCTAAGATCCTTCCCAACTCTAGAGTTCCTTGGATTTAGCTTTTTCCTTCAGGAAAGGACTTCAAAGCCTAGCAGTTTTGGTGTTAGTTCTGAAAATAATAAAATCTTCGTTCCAGAGAGCTAACATTTTCTAATAATTTTTTACTGCAATTGATTGGGGTATACACTATTGTTCTAATTGTGTGGGTGACAAAACAGGACAACAACGTTTAAGAAATTCTGTGATGGATCAAGTTCTGGCCCCTCAGCCAGTTCTATATAGGCTGTGTCATTCTGGGTAAAACATTTGTTCAAGGAAGGACCCACAGTTTTGCCATAGAAACTTAGTTTGTTGGATGCATGACATTCTTGGCTGAAAGCTCCTTTTGAATTTATTTCAGGCAAGCCCAACTCAAGGTCCATGCCTCTGGAATGGGAAGACACCTATGGAATTGTCCTGCTTTCTGGAGTGAAGTATAAGAAGGGTGGCCTTGTGATCAATGAAACTGGGGTGTATTTTGTATATTCCAAAGTATACTTTCGGGGTCAGTCTTGCAACAACCTGCCCCTGAGCCACAAGGTCTACATGAGGAACTCTAAGTATCCCCAGGATCTGGTGATGATGGAGGGGAAGATGATGAGCTACTGCACTGCTGGGCAGATGTGGGCCCGCAGCAGCTACCTGGGGGCAGTGTTCAATCTTACCAGTGCTGATCGTTTATATGTAAATGTATCTGAGGTATCTCTGGTCAATTTTGAGGAATCTCAGACATTTTTTGGCTTATATAAGCTCTAAGAAAAGCACTTTGGGATTCTTTCCATTATGATTCTTTGTTACATGCACTGAGACTGTTGTATTCAATGAGGGCCTTCTTATGCTCATTTGAGGTCAAGTAAGAAGACATGAACTAAGTGGACCTTGAGACCACAAGGTTCAAAAGGTCTGTAGCTCCTCACTCACCTAACGTTTATGAGCCAGACAAATGGAGGTATATGACTGAAGAATATCTGGGCTGCCATGTGAAGAGGCAGAAGCGTGGAAAAGCAGCTGCCAGGTGTTCTACATTCATCTTCAGTGCCTGAAAGTATTTGGGCACATTGAAAAGGACACCTTTTAACTCACCTCTCAGGGGTGGGCCTTGCTACCTCAAGGGTGACTGTCTTTCTGATACATGGTTGTGACATGGTTGTTTAAGGGATGGGAAAGGAGGACTAGAGGCTTGCATAATAAGCTAAAGAGGCTGAAAGAGGCTGATGCTCCACTAGCAGCATCTTCACTTCTAAACACACAGCCTGAGCCATCGCTGATAGTAACAGAGAAGCAAGAGAGATATTATGGGGACCCATTCATTCCTAACACAGCATGTGTATTTCCAGTGCAATCGTAAGGGTGTGTGTGTGTGTATGTGTGTGTGTGTGTGTGTGTGTGTGACTAAAGAGAGAATGTAGAGATTATGAAATACATATTAGGAAAATATGGGTTGCATTTGGTGATAGAGTTTGAATGCTTCTTGACAATAAACTCTAATAGTTCTTAAAAATTATTGATTTTCAGCTACTGATGAAGTTTTCCTATAATATAATAAATATTTATATAGATGTACATTTTTGGGAAAAGAAAACATGTAATATAAAGTATATGTTAGGATACAGATAATTTTTAGCAAATATTTTACTAAAATTTGAATTTTTTGCTTATTATTTCTTTCTTCTATGGTTTCTTTTTTTTTTTTTTTTTTTTTGGTTTCTTTATTCATTACAATGCCAGACCACTTTAAGAAGAATTTGCTGGGGTGAGAAGAACTATGAGGCAACCTTTCCACCTTTGCCCAGTCTTCTTTCTCTCTATATATTTTCTTCCCTCTTCACCTCCCAGAGATTCCATTACCAATATTATGACCAGTGTTAAGCTTACCCAATTTTCCATAGATTTGATGAGAAATTATCTTTTCCTGAAGGCACAACCATGGCACAGTGAAAAGGGCACATATTTTGGATTAAAAAACTTAGATTTGAATCTTTGTTTTTCCGTCTACTACCTATGTAATCACTGGTCAGGTCTCTTGACCTTCCTTGAACAAAAAAAGAGCTGATGTGTACATAAAATACAGACACATAGAACATAAAAAAATGGTGTCTACCATTACTAATCAGCCACTCTGTTAGAGCTACTTTGTTCTCCAGAGGCTACTGGTCTGTGGGATCCATCTAAGCACATGGTTTCTTGTATTCTCATACTTGTTACTCACAATGCCCTTTTCCTGGTTTCTTCAACTACTCATTGTCATGGGTGCTCCCTAGACTTTGTTATCATTAAAAAGTATAGTAATTCCTTTGGCATTTGATTTCAGATGTCTTATTTTCACAACATCATCTCCTATTATTCTAGTGGAATTGGTCTAACATTTTCTTTATGAAAACTTTTTTGAAAATATTAAGACTTCTCTAATAAATGAACTTTATTATTTTCATATATATATATATACATATATATATGTGTGTATATATATATGTATATATATATATCAGCTCCTTCCATATCTTCATTTCTCTCTATGTCCAGCATATTTCATCATCTGTCATGACATCCAGTACCTTGGAAAGACTCTGAACTCTAAAATACTCTCTTCCTCCACTGTATTCCCTTTCCAGAAATTCTATTTGCTTTAAGCTGTCATCCTAGCAGCTGGGTGTTGCTGGACAAAAATTACCCAAACAGACTGCCTAGTGTTATTTTATTTTTATCTAACACGAATTTAAATCAATCAATTATTGATCTGTCACTGATTTAGTTTTATTTTTTGATTGATTTGAATAAGTAGTACACGTACATGGTACAAGGGCAGAGACAAGGAAAACTGCTGGGTGACCAGAGTTAAAACTATCATTTAGAATATATTCAAATACTTGTTGAATACGTTAACGAACAAAACCAAGGCTTCAGGTTGAAAATTGTCATCTGCTCTCCCTAAAACTCTTGTATTCATTCATCTGCTCTGGAGGGTCAGGTTCCTTAACAGGTGCCTCCTGGAGAAATTCCAGTAGGTACATTTACCCTTCCGATGGCTGACTGCTGGACTGTATTCCCAGCCCTGAGGGTGAAATCCTCCTCATCCACTCTCTCCCCTTTTGGCTTCAACTATCAAGTATGCCAGTTCCAAAGGGTCATAGGAAGTTGGCTAGACCATGATTCTTTTGCAAATGGACCCTTCTAGATATTGGTACAAGAGCACAGTGTAAGTGGGGAGGGGCCTGAGCATCCCGAGCTGAACTGATGCTGTCAGCTGGTAATGATACTGCTGACACTTTCATCTCCCTAAGTCTGAGCTGCACTAGGATGCCTTTGGGACTTTCTGAAGGTAGAATTGTAGCTCACTATGCTTTACTGATTCCAGAGAAGAGGTACTGACAGTCCCTTTAGGAACCTTAATTTTTTTTTTAACCTCAGTTGGAACATAAGGAATGTAAAAAATTCAAAGCTTTTTAATATGTTTATTGAAAATTGGATTGGCATTGTTCCTTTATGAAATGCTAAACCCAAAGTAGAACACACCACAAACACATACATACGTAAAGGGTGCTTCTAGTTCAGTAGTTTGAGGTTTTCATTTTTTTTTCTTTCTTTTCAAGCAACCAAAAGCACATGAAACCCACTTCTTTTCTCAGTCCCCCAGTGTGGTGACTTTGTCTTCTCTGAAGTAGGTTTTGACTTACCACAGTTAACAGGAAAAGAGCTCTATTGTGGGGGCATCATTGTGTGACTTAAGTGAAACAGTCACTCATAGAAAGAGGAGAATTGGAGAGAGAAGCTGCCCGCCACCCCCACTCCCCAAAGTCACTGTATAAACTTTCCTTAGTGGGTTAAGCCCTGGACTTGCCCTGGTCCTTATCTAAGGAAGTATGGAGGCCACGTGTTGAATTACATTTTTCTAAGGGGTCTGGTAAGTTCTGGTGTTTGTAGAGATACATTTTTACGTTCTGATTTCTTTTTCTTTCCCAAGGCTTTTGATCATCCAAAGACAGAATGTGGGGATTCTAGAAAAGGGAAATTAGAACCCCATTCCTTAAGGGAAAGGGTTCAGAAATAAATCCTATTTGGAAATAGTAAGTCATTGATGGTACAGGGACCTTTGGGATTCACTTGGAAACTAATCTGCCTTGGCAATGTAGATAGTTAAGTCGGTACTCTGTCCTTACAGGTTCACCCAGAAGACAGGAACGAATCATGCCAGTGATGACTTTCTCACTTTTATCAAAGCTTCCCCTTTACTGGGAAACATTTTTCTAGAGTTCTGGCTGGTACATCATCAGAAAAAGGGCAATGCAGATATTCCTCCTCCCCTTCTTGGACATTCCTTCGGCCCTATGGGATCACCCCTTTCTTCTAATTCTCCATGGAATGACATACGCCTCCATTTCACATTCTGTGGAAAGTTTATTCTTCAAGTTTTCTGAGAATTTCAGGGAAGACCCTCATTCCCTTGGGCAGTCCACGTTATCGCAAATTGCCTGGCTTTCGCTGGTTTCTGCAGTGGACTGCTATCTACATTCCTGACGTGCCCACTGTGGAATGCCTTTGTTGCCAACCAGGCATCACTACCACAAGTTGCTGTGTATAAAATTAACTGAAGGTTTGAGGCAATGGAGACACATTACCTTATGACAACACAGAATAAGCCACACCTAAAAATTAGACATCACCACCATTCCTCAGATTTGCCACAAGTGTCTCCTTAAACTTACCATTAAAAATTCTAGTATTTGAAATAGTATAAGGACTTTCATTCATTCATTTATTCACTCAACAAGTGTTTATTGAATGTCTACCATGTACCAGAAACTTCCTTAGGTATTATGGATACAATGATATAAACAAAATCCCTTATGGAGTTGTATTTTAATGGAGAAATGGTAGACAATAAAAATAAGCAAATGAGTAAGTCATGTGGTAGGAAGTGCTATGAAGAAAAACTAAGTAAGGTAATCCAGTAGGGAGTGATGCAGGCGGAATGTTTGTATGATAAGTTGTGAAAGAACAAGCCACATGGACATCTAGGGAAGAGCACACCAAGCAGAGAAACTGCAAGTGCAAAATCTTAAGACCAAAAGTGTTTTGTGTATTGGAGTGAGCTGGCAGGAAGCAACACTGAAGAGGTATACAGGGACCACATGGTGCAGGGTCCTGGAAACTTTGGAAAGCAGTGTGGATTTTCTTCTAAGTGTGATGGAAAGTCACTAGAGGACCAAGAGCAGACAGTGATATGACCTAATTTACAGCGTAAAAGGACTATTCTGGTTGCTTATGAAGAATAGACTGTGGTGGGTCAAAAAAAGTCTATTTCAGCAACCTAGATGAGAGGTCAGGGTGGCTTGAATTAGGGTGTTGATTATAATACAGTGGTTAAGACGTACTTTTGATACTCGAGGTAACAAGATTTGCTAATGGACTAGATGTGGGAGCGCATGAAATGAAAATTCTCTCATTTTTGGTCCAATCAGCGTGTGTATGTAAACATGTGTATGTGTGTAAACATACGTGCATGTGTAAATGTGTGGTCTGGGTGGATATTGGTGACACCTTATTGTTTTGGGGTTTCGCTGCTGTCATGTTGGAGGCACAGTCTGTGATACAGGCAGAGAACTCAAGTTTCCTGCTACACATTCCTGGGTTTGTACCAAGAGCTAGCTCATCTCCTGAGAGTCAAGTGTACAGAGAAACCAGCCTGTAGGTTCTTCACGAGGTCTGCTTATGGAAATAACTTCTTTATAACAGCCTTGACAAGGAAGGAACACAGTGTGATTTAAGATTGCCATATATAAACCCAAAGCTGCCACTCCAGTTGCCAAATATCACTCATCACAGATCTTGGATTCAGAAGTAATCATTAGAAATAATATCAGGCGCCTTCCCTTCTAAGATGGAAGTCCTCTTTGCCACATTTCCATCCTCTTTGCCACATTTCCAACAGATGGCCATACAGCCTCTGCTTGAAAACTTTCTGGAGAAGGAGCTCAGTGAAATGCAAGGGAGCCCATTCTGCACTGGATTATATTATTACACTGTAGGAATTTCTTTCTTAGAGTTAATTGAAATCCTCTGCATTATATCTTCCAAACATTGGCCATAGTTTTTTTGCTGCCTCTTACCTCTATAGCATTTAATAACTTACAGATCTCTCTCCTGTACCTTATCTTGTTCAAATTTCACTACAATCCTGTAAGGTAAATTGTTATCCTCATTTTATACATGAAAACAACTGGAAGGTGACGTAGCTAATAAATGGTGGTGCTGTGACTTCATCCTAGTTGTCTAGCTCTAAGATTTATCTTTAGAGTTTCCATATGCAAAGAGATTTCTTAAAATTATACATTATATGCCGGCACTCACCATAAGCCTCATTCCATTAATTTTCAGTGACACCTCTTATTTTTCATTCTTCTCTTTGCTTTTCAATTTCAGTCTCACTTTGCCTAATACCTATAACTCTGTACTATATAATATAAATATGTCATAATATATTGATAAATATGTATTTGAGATCATGACCCAATAGATAGTGGTCTTTTTTGGTCTCTTCTTTAGTTTCTTCCTGACAGTCACTAGTTTCTCTCTCTGTCTCTCTCTCTCTCTCTCTCCTGTGATCTAACTGAATTGCTTCTATTGCCTCAGTGCCACCAGTAGCATCTAGTTTTAATAAGAGAAGAAGGAAATAAATTGAGCTTGGGATCAGAGGGCCTGGGACTGAGTTCAGCCCATGCTACTCAACTAGCAATGTGTGTGATCTTAAGTAAGTCACGTGAACATCTTGAGATTCACCCTGTCCCCTCTGTAAAATGAGGAAGCCGATTTATATTCTCATGGCTTTATAGGAATGTTGTTACTGCCAAATGCAATGAAGCCAGTTTGTGCTTGGGAAATGCATTCCTGAAGGTAAGTCAGTGGAATTGTTATATTCCTCAGCAACTTTCCTGATAGAGTCATTGTTAAAAAAATTCTGACTGTTCAATATTCCCACAAAATTGACCATCTATAATCATGCCACACATAAGATGTCATCAACCATTTAAAAAAAAAAGGAACAATGGGCAGGTAAATATCATCCTCTGGGTATAAAACTAAAGAATACTATCTTATATTGGCATAACCTTTAAAAATATCTTCTCATACCTCTAGTTTTTATTATTTAAATGTGAGATAATACACAGAGAAGCAGCTGTAGGTATCATATTCTGTATAAATATTAGTTGAATACATTAATATATTTTGTGTCTAGTATATGCACAGATTAATATGATTAGCCTTTTTGTTTTTGTTTTTGTTTTTTTTTTTTTTGAGACAGAGTCTTGCTTTGTTGCCCAGGCTGGAGTGCTGTGGCATGATCTCAGCTCATTGTAATCTCCACCTCCTGGGTTCAAGCAATTCTCTTTCCTCAGCCTCCTGAGTAACTGGGAGTATAGGTGCCTGCCACCATGCCCAGCTAATTTTTGCATTTTTAGTAGAGATGGGATTTCACCATGTTGGCCAGGCTGGTCTTGAACTTCTGACCTCAAGTGATCCTCCTGCCTCGGTTTTCCAAAGTGCTGGGATTAGAGGCATGAGCCGCCACGCACGACCTGATTAGCCTTTTTGATGCTTATATTTTTATCCTGAAACAGAATTAAATGGGGTGATATTTAAATGTTTGACTGGGGTAGCATAAATGCTTAAACTCACTATTATCCTGATACCTAATCAAAGGCTTCACTCCGCCTGGGTTAACCCAAGGGATGTGAATTGCTGAGGGACTCCCCCTCCTCCAGTGCTGCTTGCCACAGTGGGAATACAACTTCTTGGTTCTTATGTTGCAGCCCTGGCTTTTGGTAACTGAACCACTTCAAAGACAAAGTGAGTTGAAGTAAAAGATATTCTTGATATTATTAAGATTTTTAATGTCCACATGTGTAAAACATTGAATGCAAGACAAAAATTTTTGCAAGGAGAGTAGAGAATTGGATAAGCATCTATTGACATCTCAAATGTTTCTCTGGGCCTGGATCTTTTAGTTTTATTTTATTTAGGACTCAATTTTCTCACATACTCCACCCAAACACCGGTCCTGCACCACTTCTAGTCTGTTGGAACTTCATACGCATTTTCCAGAAGGAAAAGCTTTCCAAGTTGGTCCTGATTGGAAGAAAAGGTTGTTGGAAGATTAAGGAAGCTACAGAGAAGCTTGTCTCTGGCCCTAAATACATGAACTAAGATTCTAGACTTTTTCAACAGAGATTAAAGATTGTAGAGACTGGGGATTCTGGTAACATGAAATGTGTTTGTTCTCCTCAACCCAACTTCATTGAGAAGAGAAGACAGTTTTGACTAGCTGTTGAGAAAGAGACATAAGGTGTTAAACAGAACTCTAAAGTGTGAACTACAAGGAAAGACTTATCTCAAACCTCAGCATCCTCTTTGCATCATTTCGGTGGTCTGTGTTGTGGCTTCTAAGAAAGTCTGTCTTGGCACGGGTCTGGGAGGGGTGGTGACCAGAAGAAAGCTGTGCAAGGCGCTGGGATGGTTCATACTTCCTTTAGTGCTTTGTTCTTGGGTTCCCTGAGGTTGTTGACTAGGCTGGCCAATTAGCTCTTCCTAACTTCCCAAAAGTACAGGAACAGACTGCTTTTGGAGGGAGTTCTGGAAGGCAGTGTAGTCAGTGGGAGGAGGTGGCCAGAGAGCTGGATTCACTTTTGAAAGAAAGATGAGTGTGATCATGATTTTTCCTCCCTACTAGCAAGTTTACCTTTATGACTCACTATATGAATAAGAGTATCAACTTTTTATCTAAAAATAATTGGACACAAGATTCATTCTTGCCCTGAGTCAAATTATGAAGTATACATAGCCCAATAATTGTTTTAATTTATTGACTCCCTTTTTGTAAGGATTATGCAAATCACCCTACATGTAAGTCTACTCATCCTCATCAACCACAAGTCAAGCATTACGAACTCAATTTTGTAAATTAAAAACTGATTGAGGTTCAGAGAGGGTAAGTAATTTTCCCAAAGTCACAGCAGAACTAGGATTCAAGAGCATACTGGTTTGATCCAAGCACTCTTACCCCAAATAGGCTCATATTCTCAGAGGCATGTGAACCAGAGCAACTCCATCTTAAAGAGGAGCTGCGTAAAATGAGGCTGAGACCTACTGGGCTGCATTTGCAGATGGTTAAGGCATTCTAAGTCACAGGAGTCATTCTAAGTCATAGGAGGTCGGCACAAGATACAGGTCATAAAGACCTTGCTGATAAAACAGGTTACAGTAAAGAAGTCACCTAAATCCCACCAAAACCAAGATGGCCATGAAAGTGACCTCTGGTCGTCCTCACTACTACACTCCCATCAGTGCCATGACAGTTTACGAATGCCATGGCAATGTCAGGAAGTTACGCTGTATGGTCTAAAAAGGGGAGGCATGAATAATCCACCCCTGGCTTAGCATATCGTCAAGAAATAACCATAAATATGGGCAACCATCAGCCCTCAGGGCTGCTCTGTCTATGGAGTAGCCATTCTGGTTTTTTTTTTTTTTTTTTTTTCATTTTTGTGTGTGTGTGTGTGTGTGTGTGTGTGTGTGTGTTTGAGATGAAGTCTCACTCTGTTGCCAGGCTGGAGTGCATCGGCATGATCTTGGCTCACCGCAACCTCTGCCTCCTGGGTTCAAGTGATTCTCCTGCCTCAGCCTCCTGAGTAATTGGTATTACAGGTGCACGCCACCATGCCCGCCTATTTTTATTTT